CAGCGCACCAGGTTTCCAGATCTTCGCAGGCGTCCGTAATCTCCAGTTTGATGTCTTTTCCGACACACAGACCCATTTATTCTGAGACAAGGTCGCCGTCATCCCCTCGTGGGACACAAAGGTGGCGCAGCCTGTCAGTTTGGTTTAATAACCGCATACATCACTGCAAGTGTTATATTCATAACTTAGTCGCGATGGCAGGTGTTGATAGTCTGCCCGCATACTTGTCGCAACTGTGGCGACTCATGCCGTACTTCAAAGGTTAAACTATCGTTTTCTTCTTTGTCATTCGTGGATTAACTGCGAGTTTTCACAGCACACTTTTCTGTACCAGTGAGTGAGTGAGTATGGTTTAACGCCGCTTTTAGCAATATTCCAGCAATATCACGGCAGGGGTCACCAGAAATGGGCTTCACACATTGTACCCATGTCGGGAATCGAACCCGGGTCTTCGGCGTGACGAGCGAACGCTTTAACCAATAGGCTACCCGACCGCCCCCTGTACCAAAATAGACTGCACGACTATATCAGATATTTTCGATTAACAAGCGTATTAGATCTCATCTTCCCGAGGCAAGGGAGTTAACTGACTATAAAAGTCCAGTTTCCACCCTTACCGAACTAGGCTGGAATTATGGAGTTACATTTTGGCTGGACTAACGAGTTTATGAATAGTCCAATTAAAACCGCGTAACGAAATCGACATCAGGTTCATAAACACAGTGACTGCCGTACATATTTCGGTCGACTGCAGGATTTGCAGAGCATGTGTGCCGTCAACTGGGCGACGACAGATATTTTCCAAATATTTTCATATTTTCAATCAAGGTGCTCAAGTGATTTGATGCACTTCGCCGCGATTAGGCCCGTTTTATTGTAATAAAGATCATGATTATAGATCAGATCGTCTTGACTGGACAGAGTTGCGACCCAACTCACTCACTCACTCACTCTAGACTGGGTGCCGCAATTTTGTTTCAAGCAAATGCAAGTGATATGAGAGGTGGGATTTGATTGGTCGGTAGGAGGGATATAAATGGGACATAACTCGTAAAAGCCAATAGTGGCGCTACCATCGAGCCATGAAATTCAAGCCTAGTTCGGCAAGGGTGGAAACTGGACTTTTACAGTCAGCTAACCCTCTTGCCGCGGGGAAATTATCACATCTCCATTCAAATTCCCTGTCTAAAATATTAACCATAATCCTACATTATAATCAAAGAAGAAAATCTGCGACAAATGGATTGAATACAAGGTGGATTTTTAAAAGTCCAAAGAAGTTGCTTGATTTTTTTAAATTGTCAAAAAAGAGCCAAGTTCAATTATATCAAAATATTGGATTTTTCAGCTTCGAACACCACCATTCCACAAGACAAACTTGAGAGGGAAGTCCATTTCTTGATGGAGTCGTCTATGGCGACGCCTAAAGACAAGGTTTCTAATTTACACAACAGACCAAAAATACTCAAATTAAAAAGTAACGGGGACAACAGGCAGCCCTGTTTGAGTCCACACTTAACATCGAACCAGGGGGTGGATAAACCATTTAAACGAACACAACACTGAAAGTAGAGTTTTTTATAAACACGATAGCATTAAACATATTACCCTTTACATGGTCGATAACAGTTGTTCCCATGACTTATTTCGGTCAAGTCATACGCCTTTTTAAAATAAAAAGGCAACAAACGTGGATTTCTTTATCAATAATGGATGTAATGTAAATGTTCTGCTGTGGATCGACCTCTCCTGAAGACATTTTTGTTGTCATGCAAAAGACGAGTTAGATTCAGCATATTCACTGAGTCTTGTATTCAGCACTCCACAGTAGTTTACAGCAGGCAAGTGCGATGCCGCGGTGGGGTAAAGGGTCTCTTGGGTTGCTTGTGGAAGTATTTGGGACGATTCAATATGAAAAGGGTTTTGTACCTTTATTTACGACAATTCTATTACGTGGTTCAATCTCACATGAGCGGGGAGACACGGGTGGCCCAGTCGTCTAAGGCGCCGCGATTCGCTGTGCAGAGTTGCGTCCCTTAGGCACGCCAGAAACCTATGATTGTGGGTTCGAATCCTGGTTCGCCCCGATTATGTTTCTAGGTTTGTCAGCACCATACCCGCGCTCGTGGGTTTCACCGAAGTGGTAAACGTCTGAGACCTGCATCACTTCGGGCTTTCCTCCCACATTAAGCTGACACGCCGCGATATAACTGGAATACTGTTAAAAGCGGTGTTAAACCCAACTCACTCACTCACTCACTCATTCATTGCTAATTGTGGAACGTCTGCTAGAGAACGATTAAGCGTGTCATTTTGGAGAAAGCTTGTGCGATCAAACGTGTAATTTTGAAGATCATTTCTACCAAACAAGACCATACATGGAGCCTCTGCATATAAAGGCTCCGCCTCAGCTGTATTTTCGTTCCAGCCTTTGAAATTGATAGGACAAAAGTGCAAATAAACCTTAATTACACACTGTTTTCTATATTTTGAAGACGTATGTGTATTAACGATGTTACGATACAATCAAATCTGCAAAGTTGTATATACTGATGAGACATTCACTTAAAGCTTCAGGTAATGATCTGATATCGTTCAATAATTGTCAAATAGCCAAGTGAGACCACCTCATCTGTTTCATATTTAGATTTATGCACAAAGACACAGAGTGATAAAAATCTATCCACAAGAATATTTGACAGAGGGATTACTTCAACTTTCCAATAGTCAGCGTAACCTTTATGTTCAACAGTATTCCAGCAGCTCCAGCCTTTGGTGTTTACAAATCACAACCTTTGAGGTACAATCGAGCATGCTCTTTCAACGAAGATTTCAAACAGCGAGACTTGCTCAAAAGGGATACAGCATTCAAGGTCGTTAAACTGGTGGTGGTGAAGGTTCCAAACACATGTCACTTCCAACATTGTTCAGAGGTAAAGATCTCACGTCCAAAGATGGATATCTCACTTTCAGGTATGCAGATCTCACTTTCAAAGATAGAGATCTCACCCATAATATTTTCTGAAACCGCATAATAATGATGCCATCATTTGATGAACATGTGCACTTTTGGAAAATGTTCAAAATTTCTTGAACAAGTTTTGAGGTAGTACCAAAAGTAGCTTTCAAACCATTTTGTGGTAGACATGTGGGCAGTTCCAAAATTTGACGCTTCAGTGACAAAATTATTTCCGAAGCAATACCCTATTTTGACTTGTGCCATATGTTCCCGTGTTTGTTTAGGTGAACGCTTTATTTGACTCTGCATGTATTTGTGACGGGTGCTACCGATGGGGCAAGATACGCTCACCTCTTCGCCATCACCTGGTGCAATCATCATTTGATAGCGATTCATAAATACTTGTATATGGTATAATCGGTTCCAGCAGAAATTTCATGATTGTTGAAATGGTGTTGTCACATGTATTATTGTGGCTTTGATCATGAGGTGACCGCCTCCGTGATCTAGTGGTAGAGTGTCCGCCCGGAGAGCGGAAGGTCCGGGGTTCGATCCCCGGCCGCGTCATACCAAAAGACGTTATAAGATGGTACTTGTTGTTACCCTGTCTGGCGCTCGACATTAAGGGGCTAAAACAAGGACTGGTCGGCTTAAACTGCGGCGTGGTATCTCAGTGAGCTAGCACTATAAATCGGCATCAGTCCGGACTAGTACAAGCAGCCAAACAAACACACACACGTACATGCACGTCGCTGTATAAGTGCAATAATCTTGGACGCGACGTTAAACCCCATTTCACCTCACCTCACCTTGATCATGAGGCTCATTCAGGCTTAGGGAACTATAGACCCACCCTGCCCTGGAATCCCGATGGGTCATCACTGGTCCATAATAAGACCCAATACTGATACCGTCTCTGCTGGTGTCCAAGTATTATGATGGTGAAATCAGAACACTTCTTTGGGAGGGTGAGTGAGTTTGGTTTAATACTGCTTCGTCCAGTACTCCAGTTGTATAACGGAGTGCCAGCTTAATGTGAGAGGAAAGTGATGCAGGTCTCAGACGTTGACCACTTTGGTGAAACTCAAGAGCACAGGTGTGGTGCTGACAAACCAAGAACACAATGGTCATTGGCTCCTAGCTCACCCAGGGGACACAACTCTGCACAGCGAAGTGTTGAAGCACACTGGGCCACAAGTTGCCCCGGTACACTGGTGGCAGGGACTGAATGAACCGACTAGCTCTTCTCCGTTGCTTCAACTGCCTAGGAAAGCTTCAGGCAACATCAAATTTCAATTGGAACACCCATGTGCCATGCTTGAGTGCTTTTTTATTAATTTCCATGCAGTGCTCCTGGAAAGGATGAATAGTGGGTAAGTGAATCTTATTTTTTGCCTCATTCAAAAACATCCTGGAACAAAAACATAACTCCTGGAAAGGCAAATTGAACAGTATTACTGTCACATCACAGCTGTTCGCTTGATGTGGGAGAACAGTCCAAAGCGGTACAGGTCTTGGTCGTGAAACCTACGAGCACGGTTTGGTTGTGACAAACCCAGAACCATAATCAGGGAGAAGTGGGATTCAGGAATGGATCGGGTGGTAAGATTCTGCGCGTCATCATACCCTGAAGCCATACCCTGAAGCGTGGGATGTTGTCCCATCAATTACTAGATTGTTTAGTCAAGACTAGATTATTTGTAATCCCCCATCACAAAGCTGGAATATTGCGGAGTGCAGCGTAAAACAACCCAATGATGGGCCGAAGGTCCGTGGTTCGATCCCTGGCCGTGTCATACCAAATAAAGGAGGTATTTGTTGTTACCTTCCCTGAAACTAGGCTTTAAGGTGATACAAATACAACTGTCCGTACACAGTCTGAGCAGGTATTCATGATAAACTGCAGCATGTTACCCAAGTGGGCAAGCTCTATAAACCGGCATTAGTACAAGCAGCTCTACATCGCTGTATAAGTGCAATAATCTTGAACAGACATCAAACTCCATTTCACATCACCACAACTTAAAACAAAAGACAGCTAATTTATTTAGGTGTTTAATTACTTTTTTCATTTCAAATGTAACAGATACCTGTTACTGTATACACCAACGTGTAAGTATGTACAGACTGCCAGATATATTTGATTGTTTGTTCCACCGTTTGTTGTTGTATAGACCTACAAGAGAACTATATCAAGATCTACTGCTACATCTACCAGTGGATGCAGTTCACACACGCAGTATAGAACCCTTTTTAAAAATCTGTACAAATATACATAATTTATCGTAAAATTCATTCTCAAAAGTTACACTCACATATAACTTAACATCAACAATATAAATGGTAAAACCAATAAAATAACTGGACAGTCTGAGAACAAATTTTTGAAAGATTTACACAGAGCACCGCGGACGTTGTAATCAGTTTTACTGTACTCTTGTCCCTTCTTTCAGGTAACCTTGTAACTGCTGTAGTGGAATCATATGTCACCCGTAATACTGGCAATCTCTAGCATCTCTTCGGTTCCAACATCCTACGTGGACTTCCTGGACCCATCACCGGCAGTCTTAGCGAACATGCTAAGATGACATTAGCATTAGGTTTTCCCCTGGACCCTTCCACCCCTATTGGCTTATTCCTGCCTTATGATGCTAAAATGAGTGTTAGTAATGCCGCTATGATAGGTCAAGCTGTGTCCTTGTTATGGTGGTTGGAAAGAGGTTAAACTGGTGGTGGTGAAGGTTCCAAACACATGTCACTTCCAACATTGTCCAGAGGTAAAGATCTCACGTCCAAAGATGGATAACTCACTTTCAGACATGCAGACCTCACTTTCAAAGATAGAGATCTCCCCTCAAAATATTTTCTGAAACAGCATAATAATGATGCCATCATTTGATGAACATGTGCACTTTTGGAAAATGTTCAAAATTCTTGAACAAGTTTTGAGGTAGTACCAAAAGTAGCTTCTTGTAATTTTCATTGTAATTTCTTTGCTTCTCAGCTCCCTCTGAAGAGCATGCAGATGAGAAACACACTACTTTTGAAGGCCTTGTCATGTTTATAAGAAAAGTAAAAATCAATAATAATTCAAACAAGAATTGTAGATGAGATTTGATGAACAGCAGCACAACTTATTATTAACCTCTCCACCTAAAAAAATGATAACAATACATGAAACAGGTATATGAAAATTAAATTCCATTGTTATGTCGAGATAGTAAGGAAATATTTCTGTACACCTTTAATAAAAACATTGTAAGCCACATGTGTTTGAAGTGTTCACAACTGTGACACACATATTTGATTAGATCAGATTCTATTTACTTATGTTGAACTTGTTCTTCAGATCTGTTTATTTCATTCAGTATTTAGACTGTTCTTCAAATTGCCTTCTGTCGACATCATGCACAAGATGCATCATTCTGTACAATGTGTACTCTCTGAATGTTCTCAATCAACATCCTACAGAATGCTTTATTCACAGTTGTACAGTAAGCAACCTTCCTTTGTAGTCTAGACTGTGCAGATTAAAGGTTCATCAACCAGATAATGGTACGGTTCCCTTGGGTGATCACATGCTGGAGTACCTTCTGAATGTTTGGTCACAGTGTTAACAGTATGCAACCATCCATTGTTGTCTTGCTCCTTGTGGCATATCACCAACTTGGACTTGGTCTGGTCCCATGTAGCTTAGTTTGTGAAAACAGAACCACATTTCTTTCCACAGATTCATTTTACCCAGCCATCTCTTGCACCACAATATGGAGTCTTTGACAGTCAGAACATGCAGAACTCCTACCACACAATGGATAAAGGTTTTTGTGGGTTAAGCCAGAAGTATCTCATACAATGAAAGGGGTATTGGACCGTTCTTGCCAATCAAAGTACCTCTACTACCACAGAAGGAAGCTTTGAATGGTCTTCATAACCAGAACTACTTCATACCTCATATTGAGTTCCAGGATTGTTCTTGCAAGTCAGAAATGCTTTACACGCCAAACAAGGTGAAATGAGATTGATCTTGGTAACCAGAAATACCTCACACACACATTGTGTTGCAGGTTTGATCAACCATGTTCAACCATGTTCAACCATGTTCAACCATGGTTGCATGAGATTGTTCTGGGTAACCATAAAAACCTCATGTCACATACTCTATTCCTGGATGGTCCTTGCAAGCCAGACTTTCTTGTTATTGCAAGCCATGTTTGTCTTGTTATGGCAAGCCAGGTTTGTCTTGTTCTTGCAAGCCAGGTTTATCTTGATCTTGCAAGCCAGGGATACCAAACAAGATGGTACTGGACCACACTCGTGAACAAGAAATACCACATACCTCACCAAGTTCCACGTTTGTTCTTACAAGCCAGATATGCTTTGTGTACCAGAGGTGGCATGGGGTTGCTCTTGAAAGCCAGAAATACCTCATACCACACCATTGTCATGGCTTTCATGCAAGGTAGAAACACCTCATACTAATAGTATAAATGGTATATTCTTGCGAACATCTTACCACGCCAGGGTACAGGATTTTGCTGCTTAACTAACATCTCTCACACAGTGGAAGGGGTAGAGGGTAGTTCTCAGTAACATCAATATATAACAGTTTCTAGATCCACAACATGTTCCTGGGAAATTAATATCAGGCAGGTCCTTCCTCAATATTTTGTTCACTGCACTGACACCTGAAGACATGACCTGGACGTTGTACAATCAGTCTATACAGTTGCCAAAGTAATGTTTTCCACACCACACATTTGGGGTCTGATCCCTTGAGTTTCTAGCAGGACACAGAGAGTGTTCACATATATATCCATCCCTCCCTCCCAATGTTACCGACTCAAAAAACTCTACTTCACACCAAGTTTTGAGGACATGGAGAGTTGATGGTACATGTGGACCCTTACACTCCTGGTGCCCACCATGAACCAGAGGTATCCATGAGACTCGACAAGATGGATGATCATAAAGCAGTATTTGTGCGTTTTGATGGGGGCGTCCATTTAAGACATGCTGAATCAATGGCCTTGTGGTCAGGTGGACGTTTCGCTTTCTTTTCCAAATAGTCATCAATCAGATCCTAAGAAGAGGAAACAATTTAGAATTGTCAGTAACATGACATACAATGCAAGATTAGAGAGGATTGTGTCTGAGTGAGTGAGTGAGTGAGTGAGTGAGTGAGTGAGTGAGTGAGTGAGTGAGTGAGTGAGTGAGTGAGTGAGTGAGTGAGTGAGTGAGTGAGGTTTAACGCCGCTTTGAACAGTATTCCAGTAATATCACGGTGTGTCAGCTTTATGTTGGAGGAAAGCCCAAAGTGATGCAGGTCTCTGACGCCTACCACTTTGGTGAAACCCACAAGCACGGGTATGGTGCTGACAAACCTAGAAACATAATCGGGACTAACTGGGATCAAATCCACGATCACAGGTTTCTGGCTCGGCCAAGGGACGCAACTCTGCACAGCAAATTGCGGCGCCACACCTGTGTCGAATGAGTAACTCAGCATCATAACAGAAATATTAGGATGGCCTACTATGTTTAAATGGGCCACTGGGAATCTGGTAAGAGATGGTCTAATGCATGACACTGTGCTGAGGCGGACTCACCTGACGTTTGAGTACCAAGTGTTTTCCCTTCCAGTATTTAAGCATCCCCAATGCTTGTAATGTGCTGACGATGTCATTGGCATTGATTGCCGTTTCCTGACTTACATCTGTAAAAAACAAGTCCAGATATTATTATCACAGGCTTACAAAGATACACGCAACATGATGCAGCATTAGAAAATTAGGAGTATAACAATTTACTGATGTATCGATGCATTACAAACTTATACCTATACCCTATGCAATGTGCCTAACCTAACTATATATCATTTCACATTCTATATTCAGTGTCATTATTGTTTGTTTGTTTGTTTGTTTGTTTGTTTGTTGTTTAATGTTGCACTCAGCAATACTCCAGCTATATGACAGCAATCTGTAAATAATCGAGTCTGGGCCAGACAATCCAGTGATTGATATCATGAACATCGATCCACGCAATTGGGACTGTGACATTCATCAACCAAGTCAGCGAGCCTGACCACCCGATCCTGTTAGTCGCCTCTTACGACAAGCATAGTCGCTTTTTACGACAAGCATTGGTTGCTGAAGACCTATTCTACCAACAGTGTCATCATTGAAGGGTGTCAAACATGAGGTGAGGTGAAATATGGTTTAACGTCACTTCCAAGATTATTGCACTTATATAGCGACGTGCATGCATGTGTGTGTGTGTGTGGCTGCTTGTTCTAGTCCGGACTGATGCCGAATTATAGTGCTAGCTCACTGAGATACCATGCCGCAGTTTAACATGAATACCCCTCTCAGACACAGTATACTGACTCCGAGCCGACCAATCCTTTTTTTAGCCCCTTAATGCCGAGCGCCAGACAGGGTAAAAACAAGTACCATCTTTTAACGTCTTTTGGTATGATGCGGTCGGGGATCGAACCCCGGACCTTCCGCTCTCCGGGCGGACGCTCTACCACTAGACCACGGAGGCGGTCGTGTCAAACATGAACATATGCCAACAAGTGTCAATAACTCTGAGAATGTTGACAGTGTGTTTAACAGTTGAAGGACATGTTCATGCCTACATCACACAGATTGGATGCTTTTATGAAACTTTATAAATTGATGACGACTAAAAACAATGAAAAGTGCAAGATTGAAGATGATGAGAAAAGCTACCCAAAACACACACCTGAACACAACCAGTGGTTTCGCCCATACACGTGCAAAACATGACAAGTAACTGTCAATGTGGGTATAAGATGGATCATTCCAGATGCAATTGAACTGCACTCATGGAAGTTGAAAATGTGATGTTTTTAATACTTTTATCTCTTATCTGTGTGACCCCTCAATAATGACACTAAGTATAATTCTGTTAAAATTTCGACAGTTCTGCAATAAAAAGGTCCAGAAACTATTCGGGCTAGAATTTCTCACACACAAAATTGCAGCAAATAAGTATCACCATACATACGGTATCAGTGTCTGAAATATTATTTACTCCCAACAAAGCAGGCGGAATGGTGACTTACAGATGTGACAAGTCTCTCTTAAAAGTTGTCAACAAACAAATGAACATTTTTCTCATCTCAACTCTGCCTTAGCAACATTATGCTTCAAATACAGCGGGATTTCATCAATTGTACAACTACGATTGGTCCGCTTCTTGAGAAGAACCAATCAGATGTATGCTTTAAACATTCATAAACACGGTAGCTGATAAACAGGCATTCTGAACACAAATCAACAGCAAGAAGAGGCGTTACCTTTAATGCAGATCTCGCTGCCACTGTATTTGTGCAGATAGCCCAGGAGAACCTCCTTCCAGTAGCTGCGATATGTGATGAGACCCAGGTCAGACAGGGGGCGCTCTGGTGACCCGATCTTCTGCTCCACCTTGCTGAGTAGGTAGCCTGGAGTGGGGAGACAAATATAGCTGTGTTGAAAACTGGTTCAAACATTGACAAATGTGGGAGTACAGATTGTTGAAAGTTTGTTTGTTGTAGCTGGCAGTGGCATCCTCGAATTCTTCAGGACTCAGTAAACCTGATGTAAAGATGCAAGTCAGGCTGTGAAAGGTAGGGGTGACTATTGGTCTGGAAATCACTATTGCAATAACTATTGATATTGAAAGAAACTATTGCGATAACTATTGATATTGCAAGCAACTATTGCGATAAATATCGATAGTTTTCAGTGTATCATTTTAGATGGATTTTAGAGTTGAATTAAATCTTGGAACTGAAGTTTCCTTTGAATGTGATAACAATAACAACAAATAAAAAGTAAAGTTTGAGATATGACTGATTTGTGGGTTTTTTACCCCAATAATTTAAGAAAAAGAAAATTCATGTGTAAATTACTACCACTCATGATCAAAAGAAAAACAAATTTGTACAGCATTGCATGTAATTAACGGTTGTATTTAATACAATCGAAACTATCGATATTCCTAACTGAAATCGATACTATTGATCGGAAACTGATTTAACAATCGATTTATTGGCTTTAAGTGCTTCCCAATAGCAATAGATCGATATTTTGATTTATCGTGACACCCCCAGTGAAAGGCCTGAATCGTTTATTTAGATACAGCCTAGAAACTGGTAAAATGTTAAGTGCACTTGTGACCAGATTTGTAACAGTTTTACTACAACTGTTTTTTGTAAACAAACATGGCAAGCTTGATTGTTGAAGAAGATTTGTGAAGTTTCTCATCTCCCCAAGGCAAGGGGTTAACTGACTATAAAAGTCCAGTTTCCACCCTTGCCGAACTTGGCTGGAGTTATGGAGTTATATTTGTTTTGGCTGGACTAACGAGTCTGTGCATACCAACCAAAATCCCATAACGAAATCGACATTTGGTTCATAAACAACGTGGCAACAGCCATGTGGAATTCGTTCGATTGCAAGATTTGCAGAGCATTTGTACCATCAACTGGGCGTCGACAGATATTTTCCCAATCTTTTCATGTTTTTTATCAAGGTGCTCACATGATTTGATGCACTTCTCGAGGTAAAACCCATTTTATAACAATGAAGATCGTTATTATGGATAAAATGGTCTTCACTGGGCTCATAAAGAGATATGACAGATGGAATCTGATTGGTCAGTAGGGGGGACAAAGAAGGGACATAACTCTTCATAGGGATTAGCCACTGGTGGCACTACAATCGAGCCAAGAAATTCCAGCCTAGTTCAGCAAGGGTGGAAACTGGACTTTTAAAGTCAGTAAACTCCCTTGCCTCAGGAAGATGGAAGTTTCTAGGTTCACTGTACCTATATAACAGGGATAAGAGGGAGAAATGGGGCCTGGCTTTCATATTTTCTACTTGCCAAGTGCAGATTGATATATGCCAGCAACAACAGACTCAAGAACAGAGACAGGTCTGTTTAAGACCTTCGACAGTGACAAACTTAGGACATTCAGAAGAACACTGACATATATTGTAATGCCTGTTACTTTTGCTGGATAGTGCTTTTGCTGGATATGGTGCTTACAAACTAGAATCATAATCAGAGCAAATCAAGGACTCAAACTCATGATGGTCAGATTCTGGCACAACTAAGGGAGGCAACTCTGAAGTGCAAAATGAGACCCTCAGAATACTGAGCCTGCCTGTCATGCACCTACACACCAATGGACAGAGATACTGATGCAAGTGATTATGTATGGTACTCACTGAAGTCTATCAACATCTTGCCGTAACCCTGTCTCATGTACTGAGGTAATGTCAAAATGCAGGACACATTGTAATTCAAGAATGAGTTCTTCTCCTGAAAACGAAACAAAGTATGATGAAAACAGATATAATCTGAAGCACATTCATCGCTGGGGACAACCTGAGTGAATGTTGTTATACAACACCCAGGCTCAATCACATGATTCAGGTGAGGTGAAATTGGGTTCAAAGTCGCGTCCCAAATTTTTGCACTTCTATAGCGACGTGCATGCACGTGTGTGTGTGGCTGCTTGTACTAGTCCGGACTGATGCCGATTTATAGTCCTAGCTCACTGAGATACCATGCCGCAGTTTAACATGAATACCCCACTCAGACACAGTATACTGACTCCGAGCCGACCAGTCCTTGTTTTAGCCCCTTAATGCAAAGCGCCAGACAGGGTAGCACCAAGTACGATCTTTTAACGTCTTTTGGTATGATGCGGCCGGGGATCGAACCCCGGACCTTCCGCTCTCCGGGCGGATGCTCTACCACCAGACAACGGAGGCAGTCTCACATGATTCAGCTGATAAGGGAAGTTATGGGGTCATTGTCTCACCTTGCACAAAATTAACACAGATAATAAGTAATTCCTTTTCAGAGTTGTTTCAATTGAATAAAGTAGGACATATCAGAAGTTGATGTATGTGATGTTAACAGTTCAGGCCATTTTCAATGCGGTTGTTTCAAATGCTCAAAGTATCAACCCAAGAAGGGGAGGTGTGTAGTTCCACTGACCTTTGAGAAGTAGCCCACTATGTGACAACCTCCCTGGTCATTTTCAGTCATCACATAGAAGAGGAAGGGCTCAACGTCAAAGTAGAGTGTCTTGTGATCTAGAAACAGCTTCGCCAGCAAACACAGATTCTGACAGTACACCTGGAAGACACAACACAGAGATAAATCGAGACCTCCTCAGAGGACGATATTCAGCTCCAAGTAAGAAGCAAATGTCAGTAAAAAAATTCAAATTGGAATAAAACATTGCAGGTTATAAGGGTTATAGCTAATGTTATGGCTTTGCAGAGGTGGCCTGTCTTTTACTAACAGGAACAATAAACATAAACCTAGTAAGACCTAGTCAGCTCTTACAAGCATGGGGTACTGGGGACCTAGTCAGCTCTTACAAGCACTGGGTACTGGGGACCTAGTTGGCCTTTACAACAAGCATGGGGTACTGGGGACCTAGTCAGCTCTTACAACAAGCATGGGGTACTGGGGGCCTAGCCACCTCTTGCAACAAGCATGGGGTACTGGGGGACCTAGTCATCTCTTACAACAAGCCTGGGTACTGGTAGACTAACATTTACTGATTTAGTCTCTGAAATCTTATATAAAACAATATCCTTCTTGACTCTAAAAATAAAAAAAATTCCCTAAGCTGATTTCAGAGACTAAACATTTTCAGAGCCTTCCTATCAGGGCAATCTTGAAATGTAAATTGGACACATGAAAGTGTCCAAATAAATTTTCAAAAGCACATTCTCTGACCAGACCACCTTATGAACCGATCTGTCCACAGCACCCGCCACATGGATTCCATCCCTGTATTTATTAACCCCCTCGACAGCAGTCTTGGTTGGGGGCAGGGGGGAGGGAGAGGGCAGGGCATGGTAGTATCAGATGTCACGGACACACAAAGAACGGCCACATGGTTCCTTTGTGTGACCACGGCTATTGGTTTTGGAGCTGTGCTGTTACATTTATCTGGCTTATTCTATTATTCAGTAAAATGTCCTGATGGCTTTTACCCAACAAAATGTGAAAGAGCTAGCTTGAGCTGGCTAGACTTGCTTTTGTATGCATTTCTAGATTATTATGTTTTCATAAAATAAATATATTCCAAGGTCATGGTGCAGGACTAGGGTACTGGGGGCCTAGTCAGCTCTTACAACAAGCATGTAGTACTGGGGGCCTAGTCAGCTCTTACAAGCATGGGTACTGGGGGGCTAGTCAGCTCTTACAAGCATGTAGTACTGGGGGCCTAGTCAGCTCTTACAAGCATGGGGTACTGGTGGCCTAGTCATCTCTTACAACAAGCATGGGGTACTGGGGACCTAGTCAGTTCTTACAAGCATGTAGTACTGGGGGCCTAGTCAGCTCCTACAACAAGCATGTAGTACTGGGGGCCTAGTCAGCTCTTACAACAAGCACAGGGAACTGGGGACCAAGTCAGCTCTTACAACAAGCATGTAGTACTGAGGGCCTAGTCAGCTCCTACAACAATCACAGGGAACTGGGGACCAAGTCAGCTCTTACAACAAGCATGTAGTACCGGGGGCCTAGTCAGCTCTTACAAGCATGGGGTACTGGTGGCCTAGTCATCTCTTACAACAAGCATGGGTACTGCGGGCCTAGTCAGTTCTTACAAGCATGTAGTACTGCGGGCCTAGTCAGCCCTTACAAGCATGTAATACTGGGGGCCTAGTCAGCTCTTACAAGCATGGGGTACTGGTGGCCTAGTCAGTTCTTACAAGCATGGGGTACTGGGGACCTAGTCATCTCTTACAACAAGCATGAAGTACTGGGGGCCTAGTCAGCTCTTACCAGCATGTAGTACTGGGGGCCTAGTCAGCTCTTACAAGCATGTAGTACTGGGGGCCTAGTCAGCTCTTACAACAAGCATGTAGTACTGTGGGGGCCTAGTCAGCTCTTACAAGCATGTAGTACTGTGGGGGCCTAGTCAGCTCTTACAAGCATGGGTAGTGGGGGCCTAGTCAGCTCTTACAAGCATGTAGTACTGCGGGCCTAGTCAGCTCTTACAAGCATGGGGTACTGGTGGCCTAGTCAGTTCTTACAAGCATGTAGTACTGGGGGCCTAGTCAGTTCTTACAAGCATGTAGTACTGTGGGGGCCTGGTCAGCTCTTACAAGCATGGGTAGTGGGGGTCTAGTCAGCTCTTACAAGCATGTAGTACTGGGGGCCTAGTCAGTTCTTACAAGCATGTAGTACTTGGGGCCTAGTCATCTCTTACAACAAGCATGAGGTACTGGGGGCCTATTCAACTCTTACAACAAGCATGAGGTACTGGGGGCCTAGTCATCTCTTACAACAAGCACGGGGAACTTGGGACCAAGTCATATCTTACAACAAGCATAGGGTACTGGGAGCCTAGTCAGCTCTTACAACAAGCATGGGGTATTGGGGACCTAGTCAGTTCTTACAACAAGCATGGGCACTGGGGGTCTAGTCATCTCTTACAACAAGCATGGAGTACTAGGGGGTCTAGTCAGCTCTTACAACAAGCATGGGGTACTGGGGACCTAGTCATCTCTTACAACAAGCATGGGGTACTGGGGACCTAGTCATCTCTTACAACAAGCATGGGGTACTGGGGCCAAGCCAGCTCTTACAACAAGCATGGGGTATTGGGGACCTAGTCAGTTCTTACAACAAGCATGGGCTACTGGGAACCTAGTCATATCTTACAAAAAGCATGGGGTACTGGGGGCCTAGTCAGCTCTTACAACAAGCATGGGGTACTGGGGGCCTAGTCAGCTCTTACAACAAGAATGGGTACTGGGGACCTAGTCAGCTCCTACAACAAGCATGGGTACTGGGGACCTAGTCAGCTCCTACAACAAGCATGGGTACTGGGGACCTACTTTGACCTACAATCCCAACAGGGTGCCACGGAGAGAAATATTTGGAATCTCTAGTCCAGTACAAAAGATGAAAATGTTAAGGAAGTAACGTGACGGAAAAGTATCAGATAAGATTGTTTCTCACCTTGTTCTTCTTGCCGTCTACTTCAAACACTGATATAGAACCCTTCCTGTAGATCTCATCTCCAGGCGGATGACGCCAGACACATTTGGCCTGACAAAAACATATTGATAGAAATAAATACAAGGCCACAACAAATTAATTTCCCGATTTTCGTCCATGTTCCAAAATTGTGAGGGGAGGACCTTTCAGTGTGATTTTATTTAAACAAATTATTCGAGATATCTGTGTAAATGAACTGTCACAGATTCACCTGCAGCAGGATTGTTTGGTTGGGTTGTGAATATTGAGTATTTCATCAAGTAAACATAGATGCAACACATATGGTGATGTTTCTTGCCTGTAGGTACTTGTGTAAAAAAAAGTGATGTGAGGACGGGTGGGGTGTTTCGTAGTGAGGTGGGAGAGATGAAAATCCAAACCTTAACTTCAATGATGATTGATTGGCTTCAGTTTCCAAAGAAAGAATCAATAATGAAATCTGTGATCAATTACTTTCAAAATAATAAGTTCATTTTAATAAATTTGTTTAGCATAGTGAAATTAACAAAATAAAAATGCATAAGTTTGAAAACATTTCAAAACCTGTCACAAGTCCACAAAAGGGATCTGCTACTAATTGACATCTATCTTTGGTAATCTGAAAGAAATTTTACTAGTCTCAGACTAGGTGACTAATGTTAATATCACACTCTTATCTTGCAATTGCAATGTCAGTTAATTGTACTTGTGTTTTAGGGAATAGAAAAAAATTATTTAGTTTTGTTTTGCAATCAATGTGATTTTCACAAAGAATATTGAGAAAGAATGCTCTTTAATGTATGATTTTTCTATTCTAATTCATGATCAATCATCTATTCTAAGTCATGATCAATCATTAACATGCGTGGACTGACAACTCAAACCAATTATCACTTTACCTACATTTGTATAGAACCAGACAGCATAGTTTGTTTGTTGTTTAACACCGCACTCAGCAATATTGCAGCTATAATAATTGAATCTGGACCAGACAATCCAGTGATTGACACTGGGTATCGATCTATGCAGTTGGGATACAATGATATGCATCAACCAAGTCAGCGAGCCTCAATAACCAAATCCATTGGTCGCCTCTTACGACAAGCATAGCTGCCTCTTTAAGACAAGAAAGGGTTTCTGAAGATAAATTCTAACCTGGACAGACAGCATGGGGAACATTACAGTACCTCAATGATACTGAAGATTAAGACAAAATGAAAAATTTTCCTACCAGATGCCTTCGTAGAATGGTGGCTGTTCTCATATATTTCAGACAGAATTCACACAGGTAGATTTTGGGTAGGCGGGCATATTCATCTGGATACGGTGACGAATACCACGTGGTCAGTTCCCACCTTCCAATCTCTAACTTTTTTATTCTGTATTCTTGCTGTTCGCTCCTCTGATAGTGCTGCGTTAATTCATGCTCCTAGGAGAAAGGACAACTGGACTTAGGCACGGGAGATACATGCTATATTTTGATAGGATCATATCTATTTGTTTGTTAGTGCCACAATCAACAATATTTAAGCTATATAACGATGGCCTGTAAATAATACAGTCTTGGCCAGATGAGTGAGTGAGTGAGCTGGGTTTAACGCCACTTTTAACAGTATTCCAGTTATATCACGGCGTGTCAGCTTAATGTGGGAGGAAAGCCCGATGTTATGCAGGTCTCAGACGTTTACCACTTCGGTGAAACCCACGAGCACAGGTATGGTGCTGACAAACCTAGAAACACAATCAGGGTGAACCGGGTTTCGAACCCACAATCATAGGTTTCAGCCGTGCCCAAGGGATTCGCGTGCAACTCTGCACAGCGAATCGCGGTGCCTTAAACAACTGGGCCACCCATGCCCTCCTTGGCCAGATTAACCAGTGGTTGCTATTATGAGCAACCTCCAACACCATCAAGGTACGATGGAGGCAGGGGAGGCAAATCAAATAATAACATACCATTATAATATAAGTTGTAGCAGGATCACGAGGGGCACATGGGGTTTTATGCGTCCCGCGCTAGGTTTCATACCACGAGCCGGGACGAGTAGTATACAACCTAACGAGGGATGCATAAAACCCCAGTACCCCTCTTGATCCTGCTACAACGAACTTATCCTACCGACATGTTTTAATGTGACATTGTAAAAGAATTCAAACAAATTCAAATTTGATAGAAAAACAGCTGAGGTTAACTTGTGCTATTTCAGGTGACTTCCATTAAATCGGAAAAAGCGTGCAGCTTTCTGCTTTAAAGCGGTGTATACTGGATTTATTCTGCCTCTCAGAAATCCATGTGTAGTCTGACTTGCTCATAGCAGGGTATAAGAGATTTATTTCCCTCCAAGGCAGGATACAGAGTATTTTTTTAAAATCATGTGGACCAATCAGATTTTATACTTCTGACATTGAGGAATGATAACATTATAAATAAGCATGTGTATGGTGCCGACAAACCATGAATGATATTCAGGCGGATAATGAACGCAAATCACGACCATCAGATTCTGATATGACTAAGGGATCCAAATCAAAGCAAATTGTGCCACACCCAGCCCCAAAACTCAAAGAAGCAATCTAAGAGTCCAATTACAATGTCTCAGATTCCATTCACCATGAATACTCATGGTGCTACATTACTACTACTACCCTGGTCACTGGATCAGATGTGTGCTATATAAGGTTTTATTGCGGATAGAGCCTGAGAACAAAGACTATTATTCTTTTTAGCCTCAGAATATCTAACATCTTACAGGGCACCTTGACTCGACTAGACTAGAAATAGGCAACAGACTGTGGGGCATAGTATCTCATTTTCTTGACACTCTTACCATGACTACTCACCATTTTTTCGCAGGCTTTAGCTTGTGCCTCTTTGAATAACTTAAGATCATACTCTGACGCCAGCCCGTTGAGGAGAGGTTGCCGAGTTGTGTTGTACTTCTCTCGATGCTTCCGATGTTTGTCTTTCTCCTCATCAGACAAATCTGCATGCTTCTTTCTTAAACTTCGTATTCGATCACTTTTGGCCTTTTGTTCATCCGTTTGTACCTAAATTTCAAAATATGGATACAGACACAGACACTAGCTGAGGGATGGAAACTGGCACTCGTCTATTGAACCATCAGAGCTCCAGATAAGCTTTTGGTGTTATGGGTATTTTACCCATGCATTTTAAAATCATTGGGTATCAGTAATTCTATCTGGGTATTCAAATTTCTGTTACCCACTAGTTTGTACACATGTGGGTATTTAAGTTAAATATTTAAAAACACTATTCATCTAGTCCCTGCAAACTGGTGTCGTGTGGGTTCGAGAGCTTTATAACGATACTTCCACAAGAAAGTGTGATGGCAAATGATCATGATGTAACTGTCACCGTGGAGTTTGGCAAGGCTGTTGACGGAATGCCCGTTTATAATTTCAAAATAAGTTGCTGATTCGCTAATCGAATACGCAGGGTTACTTCACAATATTTTGATGATATTATTGTGATGTTTTATTTTTGTAGCGTATCTGTAATGTTCGTTGCGTATTTGATACGCTTGGATTTTATTTTACTGTGTATTTCTGCATTTCTGATGCATATTTTACGCAGATACATAGCTTATCTCGAACTCTGACCAACCTTCATTATCAAATATATCTCCATTCTGCCAATGCTCCGTGTCAAGTGAGTGAGTGAGTGAGTGAGTGAGTGAGTGAGTGAGTGAGTGAGTGAGTGAGTGAGTGAGTATGGTTTTACGCCGCTTTTAGCAATATTCCAGCAATATCACGGCGGGGGACACCAGAAATGGGCTTCACACATTGTACCCATGTCGGGAGCTCTGTGTCAAGAGTGACATCACCATCTCGCTTATTACTAACTCAGAACCAGTAAACACCCATAATAACTTACTGCAGGAGCAACATTTACATGTACTAAGATTTCTATGTTTAAGATGGACCATGGGAAGGCAGTCAATTTTAAACATTTAATGGATCAACCCAGCTTATATTTAGCATTCAGTTGATTCATTGCAGGTCTACTTTTACCTATACACATTGAGAATAATTAAGGTTATTAATGATACCTGTCTTCTCAAGTCTCGTCTGTCATTCAACACAGCAACTATTTTCTTCCTTTCTTCAGAACTCTTTTGTCGGTCATCATATCGTCGCTGATGGAGAGAACATAGATGGTCTTGTAAGGTTACAAAATTCAAAGGAAACGTAAGATGAGAACTGAAAATTGACAGCGACCTCTCAATTCTGACAGTTGAGGACATTTCCATGACAAGCAAAGAAATTAACTCTGGATTATTCAGTGGGAATGACTAGGGTGTGTGCCAGTCCTGACCATATCTCAGTCATGTACTTAGTTTCAGGGTGGGATGAAGGCCAAGAGCACAGTTAGTGATGGCACACCAAAGATGAAGATGGGGATGAATGTGAGATTTGAACCTGTGGATCCTGGCAGACTCTCCACTGTTTCAGTGCCGTAAGCCACTGAACATTAATAATTGGTTGAAGTGAGAGAGTTAAAATTTAAGTCAGATGGGCAATATTTCCAATGACTATCACTTTTAGTCTACTGTCCTTATTAATAACATATTGCAAAACCCTTACAAATGGCAAATTTCTACTAGTCCTTATGATACCTACCGTATATCGCTGTGTATAAGGCGAGGTTTTTGTACCTAAAATGAGGGGGCTAAGAAGGGGGGTCATCTTATACACGGAGTCGAAGATCTCACATTTTTTTCCACTGGCGATGTCAACCAGCGTCCGATAACCAGCCCAGCATTTGACAATAAAACTTCGCATTTCGTCCTAAATAACTGTTCCAATAACTATTTCCATACATAAACATGATTTGGATCTCTTTTCCTTGAATAAAGTTTAATAATTTCTGCAAATAAAGTTGAAATGACCCTCGTCTCGATGCAGATTATCAAACCACCTGACACGGTAAAACAATCAACATCCGTGAGTAGAGAGCCGGAAGTACCGGTAAGCATTTGCATATTGCACATGTAACCTAACATGTGATAACCGGTGAAGCTGAAATCAATTCCCGCTGTTTTTACAGTTGTATTAACAAGTGTTGGAGACGGTGTGTACAAGTGATTGTGGAATAAACACGCTGAATGTGAAGCAAACATAAGCCTAGTTAGTTACAACATAGTTAATTGGAGATTAAATTACTCACCATTGTCTGTTACCGTATTCGACATAATAAGCGCCCCGCTCTAATAAGCGCCCATGGCGATATTTTCTAATATATTTGCTAGTGAACAATTAGCACCCCTTCCGATTGATCAATGTACACAAGACTTATTGATTCGTGTATAATACTCACTCGTGTGTTATATGCACACTTAATTGTGGGCAATTAAATTCTGGAAAATATATCTCTCGTGTATGATACGTACATACTTTTCTTTTGAATCATTTCAGGCTGTCAGCATAAACTACTGTACGAAATTTACAATTTTTCAACTCTGTTTTTGTTAAAATTATATTCTAATAAGAGCCCACTATTTCCAATTTTGAGAGCGCCCTGGGCGCTTAATACGTCGAATACGGTATATGTTTTTACTTCATAAATGAATTTTATTTTACGGGCACCAATTTGGTGTCGTACCTAGTAAACGCAAAATGGCGACGTGTGCTGGAGTTACACACGCGACATATCATTGTAGAAAAAATAACGCAAGATAAACATATTTGTATTGCATATATAAGGTTTGTGTGCGCACTTGTGATGTGCTTCATTCCAGGTCGCCTTATACATGGAGTATAGGATTTTGGGTTGATTTTGAAGGCATGTACAGGGGGGTCGTCTTATACGTGGGGTCACCCTATACACAGCGATATACGGTATTATTGGGTAGCTTGGTATGGACTATACACCTGATACCGATTTCTATCGCTGATTTCAGCCATATTGTGTACAATTAGTTGTAAGATAAAGCTAGCAAATATGCAAACTGCATGCATCACCATGGTCAACCTGTCTATCTAGCAACATCAACAGAATATAACAATCATTTATCAAAGGAGAGCAAGAGCTTCATGATAACTCTGACTATGTGAGTCAGAGAGGTTATGTTAGTCACAGAGAGTATGTGAGTCAGAGGGACATTTGAGTCAGAGTGGTGTGTGAGTCAGAAGGGCATGTGGTGGATATGTGGGTCAGAGTGGGTATGTGTGTAAGTATGAGGGTGGATGTGTGAGTCAGAGTGTGTATGTGGGTGGTTATATGAGTATGTGGGTGGGTATGTCAGTGGGTGGGTGAGTCAGAGTGGGTATGTGGGTGGATGTGTGAGTCAGAGTGGTTATGTGAGTGGGTATGTGAGTCAGAGTGTGTATGTGGGTGGATGTGTGAGTCAGAATGGGTATGTGAGTCAGAGTGGTTATCTGACTGGGTATGTGGGTGGGTATGTGAGTGGGTATGACAGTGGGGTTGTGAGTGGGTGAGTATGTGGGAGGGTAAGTGAGTAGGTATGTGGATCAGAGTGGGTATGTGGGTGGGTATGTGAGTCGGAGTATGTGGGTGGGTATGTGAGTCAGAGTGGGTATGTGGGTGGGTATGTGAGTCAGAGTGAGTACGTGGTCGGGTATGTCAGTGGGTGGGTGAGTCAGAGTGGGTATGTGAGTGGGTATGTGGGTGGATGTGTGAGTCAGAGTGGGTATGTGAGTCAGAGTGGGTATGTGGGTGGATGTGTGAGTCAGAGTGAGTATGTTTGGTGGGTATGTGAGTCAAAGTGGGTATGTGGATGGGTGAGTATGTGAGTGGGTGAGTATCTGGGAGGGTATGTGAGTAGGTAAATGGATCAGAGTGAATATGTGGATCAGAGTGGGTATGTGGGTGGTTATGTGAGTGGGTATGTGAGTCAGAGTGGGTATGTGAGCGGGTATGTGGGTGGGTATTTGAGTTTGAGTGGGTATGTGAGTCAGAGTTGGTATGTGGGTGGGTACGTGAGGGAGTGGGTATATGAGCAGGTATGTGAGCAGGTATGTGAGCAGGTATGTGTTTATGTAGTCAGTGGCCATACCTTGCATTCCTCGGCTGTAGTGTTGTGATACAAGGGGCAGGCGGTCAGTGTCCGATGGGTTGCATTACGTCCACTCAGATGACCTTAAAAATAAACACACGTCATGGCATCTAATTCCTTCCTCACACAAAGCAGTCATCAGACCTCTCTGTCATCCAAACAACAGATTCTTTCATCCAAACTGAACATATATATACATACTGCATATCGCGATATACCATACATATACATATTGTGAGAGTGGGCACATCTATCTAGTCAATTAATGTCTTTAGACAGTTTTGTTTAAAGAATCATTCACATCAATGCATAAACATTGATATCATGCAACAATAGTCTTATTAAACACATAATTTCTTTATTGTTAGCTATGTGTCTCATCAGGAATGGTTGTTGTTGTTGGTTTGTTGCTTAACGCCGCACTCAGCAATATTCCAGCTATATGACGGCGGTCTGTAAATAATCGAGTCTGGACCAGACAATCCAGTGATTGATATCATGAGCATCGATCCATGCAATTGGGATCGATGACATGCATCAACCAAGTCACCGAGCCTGACCACCCAATCCCGTTAGTCGCCTTTTACGACAAGCATAGTCACCTTTTACGGCAAGCATAGGTTGCTGAAGACCTATTCTACCCAGGAATCTTCACGGGTCCATCAGGAATGGAGATAAGAAATAAACAATTACACAGTTCATGTTAATAAAGTCGGTGACAAATAGTACCATTTCATAAATATATTCCATATATCTGTATATCTACTTATTATTTATCACAAATGTTATTAATCAATATTTTGAAACATTGAAAATGAACAGTTCATACATCATGGAAACAAAATATATTAGGATTTTAACTACTGCATTCTTTGGTCATAATATTCGACAGTTACTTCTTGCCCCTTTATCGAGAAACTGATCCATATATACCGTATTCGGCATAATAGGCGCCCAGGGCGCTCTCAAAGTTAGAGATAGGGGGCTTTTATCAGAATATTATTTTGGTGAAAAGATCATATTATTCTGGTTGAAAGATCGTAAATTTCGTGGTTTATGCTGACAGCCTGAAATGTTTACATACGACAGATATATTTTTTCCAGAATTTAATTTCCCATCATTAAGAATGCATATAACATACGCATTATACACAAATAAAATAAGTCCTGGGTACATTGATCAATCGGAAGGGGTGCTAATTGGGATTGTTCACTAGCCAATATATTAGCAAATATTGCCGTGGGCGCTTATTAGAGCAGGGCGCTTATTACATCCAATACGGTAATAACTTCATTGTTGTCTTGTGTCTGAGTCAGCAATATTCCAGCCATATAATAGCAGCCTGTAAATCATCCAACTTGTGTCAGACAAACCAATAGGTATTAAGCAATGTCAGATACCATCGAGGTACGATGACACACAATCAACCCATCCTGACTATCTGATTCATTATCATCACTGCTTACAAGTGAGTGGAGTGAGTGAGTGAGTGAGTTGGGTTTAACGCCGCTTTTAACAGTATTGCAGTTATATCGCAGTGTGTCAGCTTAATGTGGGAGGAAAGCCCGAAGTGATGCAGGTCTCAGACCTTTACCACTTCTGTGAAACCCACGAGCACGGGTATGGTGCTGACAAACCTAGAAACATAATCAGGGCAAACCGGGATTCGAACCCACAATCATAGGATTCTGTCGTGCCCAAGGAACGCAACCCTGCACAGCGAATCGCGGCGCCTTAGACGACTGGGCCACCCATGCCCCCACTGCTTACAACAAGCAAAAGAGTACAGGGACCTATTCCAACCCCATCCCACATGGACATATCATATCATAAACACCTTTTGAATCACAGCCAGGCAGGGGACACCGGGACGACGTCTCATCATAGTTTGTTTGAGGTGTTGCTCGTTTCTCGGTCACTGCCCACAGAGGGAAGTCGGATGGTATATCGCAGTCTTTCTTGTTGTTTGTGTGACTGTGGTCTGTGAGAACTCGGGGATGCTTTCCCCGACTCCTCTTCTCTGGGGGGCCTTTGCCGGACTGGTCTGGTTCGGACTCAGATCCTGACACCCGCGGCTCTCGTTTCCTCTTGAAGGCCGGCCGCTGGACAACTGCAACACCAGGCTCTACTTACAGAAATAGTGGACGTTAAAATACTATCTGGAACAACAGAAAGCTACAACCCTTCATATATTATGTAGTCACAAATACATATAGCAGTGTCCAAAATTAGTAGGGTCCCAGGGTCCATTTCTGTTATCATAGTGAATCTATGGACCCTGTAAATCATTAACTGTTTTGGTGAAATGACAAGAACTGCTTCATTCCATGTTTAATTTCGAACACTGTCACTGATAAGGATACAGGATACAAATTCAGTTATTTAGTTCCTTGGTGACATAAGACTATGGAAGAATTGTGAAATCACATTACTTTTCAGACTGTGAAATCATGTTACTTTTCAATTTGATAAAAATCAAAATCATGTAGTAGCCATATTAGATTCCTAATCAATCTCAAAATAAAAAGTATTGCAACAAGATTTCCCAAATACTTGGGATTTGAGCATATAACGGAACCTACCAGTAGATCGCCGCGTGACTCGTACTGGCATCAGGTCATCATCACTGTCGTCCTGAGTCCCTGCTGACACATCACTCTCCTCCGACACCGACTCAACGTGTGACCGCTGAAACACGATAACAAATCAATGAGTGGGTGAATGTTGATTAACGCCATAGTGAAAAAGATTTTATGCCACTTTTAGCAATATAGCACGGGTATGGTACTGACAAAGCTTGAAACATAATCTGGGCGAACCAGAATTTGAACCCACAATCATAGGTTTCTGGCGTGCCCAAGGGATGCAACTCTGCACAGCGAATCACAGTGCCTTAGACGATTGGGCCACCCGTGCCCCGTAGCAGAACAAGGCCATTGAACAATTAGATAACAATCACAGGAAAACAATACATTTTGCAGTCATAGTTCCATCATTACACTCCAGCCTAAAACACAGGCATATCTATATTAGATTACTCTCTCTAATACGTCAATTCACACCAATGTGTCAACTCATGATCTTGTTAAATCAAGCAACAACACACATCGACCGAAATCTGCATGACTGTTTACGAATCCGATTTTGATTTCGTTGTGCGATTTTGATTGGGCTATGCATAGACTCGTTAGTCCAGCCAAAATGTAACTCCATAATACCAGCCTAGTTCAACAAGGGTGGAAACTGGACTTTTATAGTCGGTTAACACCCTTGCTTCAGGAAGATGGGTTTAATGCAACTTTGAGCAGTATTTCAGTTATATGACAGCGTGTCAATGTGTGCGAGGAAAGCCTGAAGTGATGCAGGTCTTGGATGCTTAACACTTTTGATGAATTCAAGAGCATGGTACTGACGTACCAGTGATCACAACCAAGAAGAACTACGGATTCAAAACCACAATCATAAGATCCTTGCAAACTGTAGAGATCCGACTCTGCCAAGGTACTCACTGTGCCTTAGATTGGGCCACGTCAGTGCCCTCCCCTTTACGGAATGCTCAATGTCGAGACAAATCACTAATTATTGACAGTTCACGGAGCTTCAGCTAGACTGCTCGGTGGCCCCAAGACATATTTTGTAGAGTGTACATGGATTTCAAACATAACAGAACCAATAAAAAGAAGAGCCCCTATGCTTATATTTCTTTATTGCACTGAATGCAGTGTTATAAACAAAGTTAAAATACCCCCGAAATTTAAAAAAATATAATACAAAACAATACTTATTTATCAATTAGCCTCACAAGGGAACCTAGCCAAATCTATGGTTCAACTTCAAATAGATGAGTCTGCCAACCGGATCCATTTGGTTGCCCGTTTCAGGCATACAAGCGTGGTTGAAAAGTTCTGAGTCTAACTATGATGAACTACATGGATGGAGTTGGTTATTAAATATTTTGCAACACAATCCCCTCCGAGGACCACCCTTCTGCCAACAATGCTGGAGTTCCTGGATCCCCCTTCTGTAGAAGGCTTCCTGTTGGTGGTGAAAAAGGTCTTCTACAGCAGAAACGATGTCGTCATTTGCATAATGCTTGCCAGACCGTTCTTCCTCATGTTTGGGAAGAGGTGACGAGGTGTCAAATAGGGTGAATGCAGAGGATGTTCAATGAGGTCAAAGCCAGTCATGCACTGCATTGTCCTAGTGGAACAACACACCTTTTGGTGACAATACTTAGCCTTGATATCCTCACAGTTGCCTAGGCATATTAGCATTTATTAATGGTGTGACTTTTCGGGAGGTAGTCCGTCAGTGATTCCAAGAAAAAGCCAACAACTTGCCACCTGATGGAACAGACTTCGCCTTAGGAGGAGACGCTCAATGTTTCCACTACTTTCATCGTTAGCTAGTCTCTGGCTGATAGTGGTGAAGCGAGGACTCTTTCATGGTTACAAAATCAGATGAGTCGGCTTCAAAATGATGTAAATTCTCCTGAGAGGTGATGAGCCTTGAGTGTTTCTGATCTTGAGTCAGAAGCCTTGGAACCAAGCATGTCACCTTTGTCATGCCCATTTTTTCCTCAGAATAGACTCTCGTGAGTTAGCAGGGATTTCTCAGGATTCTAAACTAAGTGCCCTTGACAGGTAGTTTGGGGAAAATCTTTATTTTGATTCAACTCTACAAGGTTTGGGGAAAATCTTTATTTTGATTCAAGTCTACAAGGTCATAACAATAGTTTTTGCTCCATTACATGAATTTGGAAATTTGGGAATGTACAGACATTTGCTGGAGAACTAGGGCTGAATATCGACCTCTGAGCAGGTCTAGGTAAATCCCTGGATATGCCTACAGTATTAGCTATATAAAGTGTTATGAGCTGTCGATCATCCAATTATATCATTTTTATTAACATTTTCTTCAGTGGTGGCAGTGGAAAGTCTTCCTGGTCCTTGACCATCTTCAAGGCTCTTTCCTAGACTCTTCAACTCTGCTGCCCTCCTCTTAACAGTGACAAAGGAAGGAGCCTCATCCCCTAAAGCTGACACCATGTCCGCATGGATGACTGTTGGAGTTCGCCCTTCAGTTGGAGTTACTTGAAGACAGCAGTAGAAATTTATATCCATTATCATCAACAGAGAATACCATGTCACTTTGATGCCTGCAGAAATATGCTGGCTTGTTGTGTATTTGGTTCAAATGCAGCCTGTAACCATGGAAAGTAAAGTACTGTAAATTGTTGTGGGTGTACTATACATCCTTCATAGTTAGGCTCAGATATTTCAGCCACCCCTGTAGGTTGCTGGGGACCTATTCTACCTAGAATCTAGAATCCCCAAGGGGAGGAATTCTTTTGAATTATTTCATGCCATCTTAATTAAGACCTGTTGAATGATCGTGATGTACTTCTTATGACATGCTGGTCATCAACAATCTCCCTTCTAATCTAGGGAAGGTGAAATGGTGTTTAACGTTGTATGCAAGATTATTGCACTTATTCAGCAACATGCATGCACATGTGTGTGGCTGCCTGTACTAGTCTGGACTTAAGCCAGTTTTAGAGTGTCAGCCCACTGAGATACCATGCTGCAGTTTAACAGATATCCCACTCAGACACAATCTACTGACTGAGCTGATAAATCCTTGATTGAACCCCATAATGCTGAGCCAAAATGTTTTAACGTATTTTGGTATGTCACAGCATGGGGATCAAAACACGGACTTTCCACTCTCCATCTGACACTCTATCCACTAGACACTATATCCACTAGATCACGGAGGTGGTTATTTTAATCTAGGGACTCTATAGATCTTAACTTTTAACTCTAATGCAATGACACGGACCCTTTGACTTTCATGCTCAATTTCGAACACTGCTCAGAATTGGTTTCAGACAACACAGAGCACTTATTTCATGATAACTGTTCCTGAAAGATTACCACATGTTACCACCATATTCACAAGAAGTTTACATTTAAACTTATGCACAATGAAAATAACATAAATACATATTAAGTGCAGAACGTAAGTTATTACAGGTTTTAGTACATGCATATGAAAAGTTATGCATGGAATGCCGGATTCAATTACTTATACGAACAAGCAGAAGTGTTTCAATTACTTGTTGTCGATTATGATCACTTGATATATCATTAATATTAATATATACTACTTACACCAAATATTGTTACCATGGTAACAATACAGGTATATGCACCCAAATTGCAAGTAAACAATTTTATGCTTTGACTATTGAAACAAACCAGTGAAATACAGATTTAACGTCTACATAGACAATCCTCTACAACTCAATATACTGATCTTTCACATGAGTCGATCATTTCCCTCTCCAATGTGGCTGCCCATGTAGGATTTGTATTCAACATAGAAGAACTAATCACACTTGATATCTCAGCCATCACAGCCCATATCTAAATATGAAACACGTCAACTGACAGAACAGACTGGTCAACAGAGGTTAAAACAATACTAATCATGGCCCCAAATCGTTGTTTACAATTGTTTGTTGTTATTTGAAATGGATCCTGATTACTCATAGTTAGTCTCTGTTTCTGGGTCACAATAAGCTTTTGACATTAGATCTACTGATTCCCAAGCATGCAACATCCTGCACGATCCCTTAGAATTTCACAAATTGCTTTACAGGTTTTCGCCACCAAGCGGGAACTAGTTCCTGCGATTTTCTTCGCCGTTTAAAATCCCTAGTCGCCATTTCATTGATCAGAAATATTTGCTGATGGCGCGTTAATGGCGATCTGTCGGGTTTCATGGCAATCTGACAGATTATGTATGAGATAAAGATAGTGATGTGGGTGTTTACCGTTCGACGAGGCATTTTCCTCTGAAATTATGAAGTTTTTAAACACTTGTGGCAGGTTTCCAAGAAAATTTCGTAGGCATTAGCCGCCGGTCGCGGTAAAATTTGAACTTCCGGTTGCATTTAATCTGTACTTCCGCTTTTTACGCGCTCCTAGTGGAGACTATGTGAAACTGGAGTTATGTCCCTTTAGCCGGAGGCTTCATTTTTGGAATGTCATAAAACCAGCGTGGTTTCAATTACATAGCCATGTTGTCATCAATATTAATACATATTCATCGACGTTATGATTTTATTCATATAGGATTAAGTCTGTACAGTAATATTTAAACAAACACTGACTTATCTCTTACAATATAAGTCAGCGTGTAAGTCACTGGGTTACATAGTATATATGAAAATTGGATTTCATCCTCAATGAAATTCGAAAACGAAGCACGTTTACTAGTCAGTAATAAACGGTCGTATATTATTTTAGCATCCGAAAGATTTAATCAGTTGTTTAAACTTAATGATGCCATTTGGTTTATTAAATGCTACATTCGATATATTTCTTTGCAAGACATTCTCACAAACAAATTGGGGGCACGGGTGGCCCAGTCGTCTAAGGCGCCGCGATTCACTGTGCAGAGTTGCGTCCCTTGGGTACGCCAGAAACCTATGATTGTGGGTTCGAATCCCAGTTCGCCCCGATTATGTTTCTAGGTATGTCAGCACCATACCTGTGCTCGTGGGTTTCACCGAAGTGGTAAACGTCTGAGACCTGCATCACTTTGGGCTTGCCTCCCACATTTAGCTGACACACCGCGATATAACTGGAATACTGATAAAAGCGGCGTTAAACCCAACTCACTCACTCACAGACAAATTATAGGCAAGGTGAAGGCCACATGGTGGTAGAACCTTTGTTAGAAACGAAGGGCCCGTGGCAAATCTTGTCCCAAACAATTTTCTCTGGCCCAGGCTATATATATGTAAATAAACATCTTGTGTTTGTATTCAATCTTGCTGTGACGACAACGCTGTGCTTACAATCCGAGACCTGTGATGGTCCGGATAAGAACTGGCCTTCCGCAACATATGCCTGCCAGAAGAGGCAACTAACGGGACCGGGTGGTCAGGTTCGCTGACTTGCTTGATGCATGTCATCGTATCCCAATTGCGTAGATCGATGTCAATCACTGTATTGTCTGGTCCAGATTCGATGATTTAAAGACCGCCGTCTTGTTGCTGGTTCATTGCTGAGTGCGGCGTTAACAAACGCAGAAATGAACAAACAAATCTTACAACCCGACATCAGTGTTCCTTGATCTACGTAGTATAGCGTATGATATCTGCCATATTGGTGAAATGTGCATGCATATGTATACAAGTGTTGTATCCTTGGTTACATGACGCTAAGAACAAGGCAATCAGGCACGCTTTCGTTAATTTAACACATTTTATCACAAAAACGCATGTTCCTAGAAATGTTTTTGTCGTCAACTAATTGATTCAATTTCTTCACACGTTGATGTTCTTTTCTACTGTTTTCATTTTTGAAAGAGAATGGATCGTTAATCTTCCGCATTAGGGATAGCTGCTTAGGAAATTATAGTCTGTCTTACAAACCCTGATACAAATATATATCAAATACAGCCCATGTAAGTCTATAATGTTTGGCAAGTCTAGATCACTGCATATTTTTATTAAGATAACTAAACAACTGGGTTTTTTCTGTACGATATGTTCATTTCAAAGACTAGATGTTAGTCTAAGGAAATTACTGCAAACATAATCAGCTTTTGCACATCTTGACCGAGAAGAGTATATTTTACGGCGCTTCTTTGTAATCGTTATTTTCACTTTATGTAACAAGCATGATAGATGTTGTTCGGTGCGTGTTTAGGCTATGTATTTTAATTGTGTTTAATTGCGTTTTGCTTGTATGTTTGAGCGCATGAACCAATTTCATACATTAGAATAACGTGCGTCATCAGAATGAGTCATGGTTCGGAAAATGAAATCGATACCTGCAAGAGTTATGCCCCTTAGACCATGATTTTATATCTTTCCTGGCTTCGTCGACGAACATTGCGTCGTGCATGTGTGCGGTGAGATTGAATTCACGCAATTTCACGTTGCACAGACGAGCGCATATTTATTGTAGATTATAACTTGATTAAATATATGGACAACTGTGAAAGTTTCATTTACAAGTTTATTGAAAAGTAAATCACGTGGTATAGTTCTAATAGTGTTACAATATTAGTCAAGGACCAACCTGTAGGTCCCGTGACCAAATCATGGAAACAAAGGTTTGAAAGTGTTTTTGAGTTTCCTGATGTATACTGAACAATTTTGACTTTGGCTGCCCGGTTGAAAATCCCGGGCATTTTGAGGAAGGGTCAACAAAGGTCAAACAGGGGTCAAAATTCAAAATTGTGTCGATATGCATATCAAATTACTCGTCCAGTCATAAAGAACCTAGAAATATATGGTTTGTTATACTTCCGACCTTAAATGGGGTCAACGCACTTTTGGCAGTCGGTGAAATTCACAAACACAGTTAACATTGTCCGATAGTCATGATTTTAGTGTCTAATAATATGCTTTCTGACATGACGAATTCAACCAAGCAACTTGTAAAAGTGCTCTACAGGTTGGTCTTCTAGTATATTGGCAATATTCTTGTCGTCCCTCCGAAGCTGGAACGTGGTTCGTTTTAACAATATTCCGGTTTTAATGATAATATTTGTTACTAGCCTTTGCATCGTAAATTACACAAATAAATCAGTATTCTGTTTTTAAAAATGAAAAAAACTCCTGTTTATATTCCCCTCCTGATTTTAAAGAAACGAAGGACGAGATAGGATGAGGGTCCTTTTTTACCCACTGGTAAACTTAAAAATATTGGTATGAACATTTTCAGATATGTTCTAATTGCTTACGTCATTACTTTCTTGCACTTGGAATTTTTCTATTTCTGACATGATTAAATATACTCAAAGACAAAAGTTACTTCAACGTGGAAGTTATTCACTTACAAACCTTTTTCCTTAATTTTTGGATTGTACCAGGGAAAATGTTTATGAAAAGCTCGAATAAACGTAATTAAGAAAACTTAATGGTAGTGCATGTTTTTGCAAGAAATAACGAACGTTCTGGAGAACCCGCTTTAAATGTTTCGTATAGAAGGTCAGGAATCCAATCCCACATCTTTGCCACTTTTAGCAATCTGTGGACGTGCAAATTTCTCTCAACTAATCACTTAAACTGAGTTGTAATAAATTAGTTTAAGTTATGAACATTAACGAAAACCGTTAGCTTCGTGTTTGTTTTTTAACGCCGCACTCAGTATTCCAGTTATGTGGCGGCGGTCTGTAAATAATCAAAGCTGGCCCAGACAATCCAGTGACTGACATCATCGATCTACACAACTGATATACGATGATATACGTCTTCCAAGTCAGCGAGCCTGACCACCCGATCCTATCAGTCGCCTCTCACGGCAAGCATAGTCCCCTCATACGGCAAACATAGTCGCCTCTAACGACAAGCATAGTCGCCTCTAACGACAAGCATAGTCGCCTCTTACGGCAAACATAGTCGCCTCTAACGACAAGCATAGTCGCCTCTAACGACAAGCATAGTCGCCTCTTACGGCAAACATAGTCGCCTCTAACGACAAGCATAGTCGCCTCTAACGACAAGCATAGTCGCCTCTTACGGCAAACACAGTCGCCTCTCATGGCAAGCATAGTCGCCTCTAACGACAAGCATAGTCGCCTCTTACGGCAAACATAGTCACCTCTCATGGCAAGCATAGTCGCCTCTTACAGACAGACAGACATTTTATTCAGTAATTTAGGCTTCAAGGCCCATAGTACAATGCAGATTGGATATTAACATTTGTCACGTGATGTACATGATTAGATTTTAAATCAAGTTACACATTCCTCATTTTAAAGACATGTTTTAAGAATACAGAAACAGCATGGATTATATCAGGATTTTCAGAGTTTAGCACATTTATCATTAACTGACGGTCTTTAAAAATACCTTGCAACATGGGGAGAAATGTATACCTCAAATGGGAACACGTTTTACGTAAGTAAGACATGGTATTCATCCTCTACTTCTCCCGATGAACAGTTTGTACAAATAGAGCTCACAATATCACCGTCTTTGGACCTGCGACATATATTTACATTAAAATTATGCAATGAAATTCTAAGTTTACAATAAGCAATAACTTTTATCATTTAAACAAGTTAAATATCTTTCAGTTTGTAACAATGATTTTACTTTGCTGTAATTGCTAAGTTAAAGTGATTCAGAAATACTTTGGTGCCACTGTTGACAAAATATATCCTTCAGTCTTTGCTTAAATGAATATAAAAATAACTGTGGATCTCCCACATCTTGAAAAATCCATACATATGAAAAGCCACAAACAAATAATAGATTTCTCACATCTGAAACCCAATTATTTTTTCCATTATCATCAAGTACCTTTAACATTTTGTAACACTGATATGGGTATCTATCAGGTATCATTCTAAGTAACTTAATCCAATACTTAATTACCCTTAATTGGCTGGCTACAAAAATATTACTACGGCCTGTTTACCAAGGATTGCCTTGTTTGAGGCAAACTTACCAACACCTAAAAACATTTGAAATATGAAGAGTGAACTTTTTCAATTGCAGCGTAATATTTAGCACCCCATAATTCAGAATCATACAAAAGTATAGGCATTATGTTTGCCTTCAAAAATAGTACATGCTGTGAAAAAAGATACACGACTATTTTTCCTGGAAAAAATATAAAGAGTCATAATGGCTTTCGACGCCTGAGCAGCTAATTGCTTAAATGCCATAGACCATGACAATCTAGAGGAGAACATAAGACCTAAATATTTATAGTAAGTGACTACACTCAAGGCAGACGAACAAGAAACCTCTTACGACAAATATAGTCGCCTATTACGACAAACATAGTCGCCTCTTACGACAAACAGGGGGCACGGGTGGCCCAGTCGTCTCAGGCGCCGCGATACGCTGCGCAGAGTTGCGTCCCTTGGGCACACCAGAAACCTATGATTGTGGGTTCGAATCCCGGTTCTCCCCAATTATGTTT